ATGATTAAAAAAAATTTTGTCTAGTACAAACTATAGCATGTTTATATTCAAATTAATCACTATCTTATAAGAATTCCAGCAATGTAAATTATATTCTCCCCGGTCACTTCTGTGACATTTTATAAACAAAAAACAAAAACTCAATCTAAAGGACATAAATAAAGAAATAAATACTTCACTAGACCTTTGGCATCAACTGTCAAACATATCACCTCACCTCCCTCCCTCCCCCTACATCTGCCCAGCCAGTAAACGGACCATTTCACATCCCTCAATTTTAGCTGTGTTGATTTATGAGTGTTTGTTTTAACATAATACAGTCGACCCTCGTTAAAACGAACTAATAGGGGGTAAGGGTGTCCGTTTTAGCCGATTGTCCGAATTAACCGATTTAGGGGTTAATATTGCATAATATTGCATTATACAGCTATGTGTATGTTTATTTGAGTGCCTCATCATAGGAGTCCGTTTTCTCTCACTTCAGGATGCCTGAGTTGTCCGTTTTCTCTTAATCTTAGTGTGCTTCAGAGACTTTGTTATTTCTTAGTAGTGACACAGAATTTGAAATTGCAACCCCAATTGCAACTGGGACAATCCCAGAACCAGAAATTTGATATGGACAGTTCAGATTTCGTCCGATTTATCCGAAATCCGGAGATGGGCTGAGGTGCATCTGGGTAGACTCTGTCTTTTTAGTATTTTGTGTTTCTCTCAAGTACCAAACTAAATTATTCCATTTAAACAACACTTTGATTTATTGCAAATTCGGTTTAAAGCGACCTCTCTTGGAACCTATCTCGCGTTATATCGACGTTCTACTGTACAACTGATCAGTTAATAAACCAAGGCATATGGAGACGACATACACTAGAATAATATATACTGGACTGTATTACCTTCTAATAAATACACTACTGTGAGAGGTTTGAATAATAGACTAGGTTCCTTGGAGACTTTACTCTTGCAGCGTCAGACCATGACTGGCAACCCAGCGCTGCCACAGACAAACTCCCGCCTCCACACGTGGGAAAATATATCGTATGATGGTACTCCATCTCACATCTTCCCCCCCCCAAGTTAAAAGGAAATGATAATGCACATTTGAACTAACGAAAGGAAAACAATGCAGTGATAAAAATCAATAATGCAAGATTAACAAACAATGATGTGTTCGTAAGCTGGGAGAGAGAGAATAAGAAAAAGAAAAAACAAACAAACAGAAAGAAAAAAACAACTCAAAACTAATTTTACACCACATGCACTGCACCACATAGTGAGCCAACCAACCCGGGGGCCTGCGGCCTCTTCCGGGCCTGGCCACGCCCGACTGGGCCACCTCTTGTGATTTGTGAGGGTGCCAGGTGTCCGCCAGCACCCTTGACACTAGAATCTGGTACACTGGGTCGTCCGCAGCCGCTTTGCACACTGTGTCTTCGCCCATAGTGATGCACCCATCCTGATCTAGTGCTACGATTGTGACTGCACACACTGCAGCACACAGGTCCTCCTCTTGGTCCATGTCCTTCGCGTCGGGCTCTGCCCTGAGGGAGGGGAAGCGGGATAGGGCGTCAGCTGCACAGTTCCGCTTCCCTGGCAAATACTTGACCGTGAACTGGAGCTGCAGGTTCTTCTCCTTGAGCCCGAACAGGCGCAGATTCGGCACATCCGTGAGGGCTCTGTCCCCTAGCAAGCCAACTAAGGGGAGGTGGTTCGTCACCAGAATGAGGTTCGGGCAGCCAAGGAGGAACAGCCTGGCCTTGCACAGGCGCCATACCACCGCCAGGGCCTCCCCTTCCACTGCAGCGTAACCGGCCTCGGCCGTGCTCAGATGTTGGCTACCGCACAGAGCCAACCGCCACCCTCCCCTGCAGCAGAAGGGCATCTCTGGAGAGGCACAGGCACAGTATTGCTGCAGGACGATGAAGCCGATGCCCTCCCTGCTCCAATCGGTGACAGCTGCCGGAGGCCTGGATTTGTCGTAGTACACCTTGCTGTCCCTGGCCAACTGACAGATGGTGTCCTGGGCCTAGCAAAACTTGAGCCGCAGCTGGTCATTCCAATACACCCGCTTGCCCACTGGCTTCTTGAAGAGCTCATGGAAGGGCTCCAGACAGGTGCAGTGGCAAGGAAGAGAGCCAACCAGGCCATGCCCGGACCTGATGTCAGTGATTGATGGCTGATCAGGCATGGGGAAGTCCTTGATGGCTGACAGACGTTGGGCGGCGGGCTGGTAGAGGTCCCACCTCAGGAGGAAGCCCACAACCTCAGCTTCTCTCCTGCAGAACAAGAACTTTTCTGGTTTCAGTGTGATACATGTACGAGCGCATGTCTTCAGAAAATCGTAGGTGTGCCAGAACGTCCCCTTCACACTAGAGTCATAGAGGAGAGTGTCATCCACGCACTTGTACTTACGGGGCACATCCTGAATAGCTTTGTCAAACTTCTTGGTGTAGGCATCTGATGCTGAACAATGTCCCATGGGCATCCTGCAGTATCGAAAATGGCCCCACGGCGTGCTGAACGTGGTCAGGCTTCTACTCTCCTCTTCCAACTCTACCTAATGAAATCCCCAGAAGGCGTCGGCGACGGTTTTGAACGAGTGCACTGGTGCAGGTGTGTGGTGCGTCTCCCTCAGACAGCTTGCATTGAGGCGTTGGAAGTCTACAGTGCGCCAGGCTGACCGTTTTTCTTGGCCACCACGACCATCTTGGCGCACCACTCCGTAGCCTCACTAGCAGGCACTGGCTGGATGATGCCTCTCCTGACGTCCTCCTCCAACTGGGCCTTCACCTCCGCTTCCCAGTGTTTCTCAACGGGAGCAGGTGTGTGACAGGCGTAGGGGGTCGCGCCGAGCGTGAGGTGGATATGGTGAGGGGGACCAGTCATGACTGGCAGTGGGGACCTGCTGGTGTTGAATGAAGTGGATGAAAAGTGCGTGAGCAGCCATGCCTCCAACTTGGCCACATTTTCCTCCAAAAGAGGCAAGGGCATCTCAACTGGCCTAGGAGAGACACGACTGCTCTCAGGTCCAGGGTTCGGAGGCAGGTCGTCGGCAGTGTGCTGCCCCCTCCATCGCCCACAGCAGCCACAGCACGCCTATGGAGCGGGAAGTCAACAGGCACCAAGTCGAGGCACTTGTAAGCCTCCAGTGACAGGTAGAGGGCCTTGGCTGTCTGTATGAAGTAGACCTCCTGGACGGTGGACCCCTCGCCCACACTGAGGCAGCTGTTTGTTAGCCACGTCCTTCAGGCCATTACGGGCCCGAAGTTGCCCCGGACACAAACCGATGTCCCCGAGCAGGGATGGCCCTGTCACACACACCATAGCACCCGTGTCAGCCACAGCCAGCATAGGGGCGGTGGGGGAATTGCCCCCAGCCTGGGTCACGAACACTTGTAACCTGGGGTGGCGGGATAGCTGGGCTGTTGCTACTGTGACAGCACCTGACACATCCACAGAAGCACTTAGGGCTGACTTAATCCTACAACACCTTTTGAAGTGACCAACCTTAGAGCAATTGCGACATGTGGCCCCACTTGCAAGGCAGTTGCTTTTGCCCGAAGCATGTGTCACGCCGCAGTTCCCACAGTGCGCGCGGCTGGAGTGTCCAGGTCGGGCGGCAGCTATCTCAGACTCACCCGTGACGTCATCACCAACTGCCGTTGCCCCCGTGGCTGTTCCCGCCACTGCCTGGCCAGACATACGACACAATACACCAGCATCTCTCACTGCTGCCTCAAATAACATACACTTGTTTCTAAGCACTTCAACACTCTTATAACTCGAGTACCCCTGGAAATTTTCCCTTTTCAACACTGGGTTACTCAGGCCCACCATAACGTTACGTAATAGCATGTACTCAGAGAGGTCGTTATCACAGGTGGGACATTTAAATTCATACTCCACCGCCTCTGCGAAGCATCATTGAAAGTACCTTTTCATGGGCTCCTCTTCACCTTGTTTGCTGTTGAAAAACTCATTCCATTTCACAGCTTGGTTTGACGATTGAAGAACCACTCCAGTGATGGCATCCAGGGCTTCCTTGGGCAAGAGCTGCTCCCACTGACCGCTGAGATATCTCGAGTCAATCACCTTTTGAGTGCAGGGACGCAGTTCAGGTGAATGTCGAGTGTGGCCACCAGTTGTGACCATCCATTCAACATCACCCACGACTCCTTGGACTGCCTCCTTGTCTTAAACACTGCTATTGGCATTTCTGCCTCACACTTCTCTGGAGCTACCACTGCTGAGGGCTTCATGGCCAGCGTAGGGCCATGACCGTGGCTGCCAGTAGCCAGAGACGCGATCTGAGCCATCAATGCACTCATGGTCTGCTGCTGGGCGCGGGTGGTGTTCCCCGCCGGTGTAGAGCTGCTCCGGCGTCCCCTTGAGGGCGTCGAGAATCGTGGACGTGTAGGGGCCATGTTGCCGTCCTCGTCAGGGCTGTTATGGCGTGTCGGGCACTGGCATTCTACTCACTGCGCCATGTGAGAGGTTTGAATAATAGACTAAGTTCCTTGGAGACTTTACTCTTGCAGCGTCAGACAGTGACTGGCAACCCAGCGCTGCCACAGACAAACTCCCGCCTCCACACGTGGGAAAACATATTGTACATTGATACTCCATCTCACAATCTCACAGCTACAATATTATTTACTAACTGCTGGAGACAGACCCTTGTGGTGTGCACCAATCCTCTTGAGCAGTGACAACAATGGTGATCAAGAGATGGTGAGTGCTGGTAACACAATTAGTGAGAGCAGGTCAGCTGTTACCTCTCTGTAAACAAGAGACTGACAATATTCTACACAGCAATAGCTCATCTGGGACTGAGTGGGAGTTATGGGTGGGCCTTAAAAATACAACAAATCAAGATGTCCAAATTTTACCATTGAATTGAACTAAACCCAATGCCTGTATTGTTTAATGTTGCAATTGTATTGTTTAGTGCCATATGATGGTTCAATGTTAATATAATAAGGTTGTTTATTTGTTTACAGTTGTGACTGGGGCTACAGATGGCATCGGTAAAGGTTATGTTGCAGCTTTAGCCAAGAATGGCATCAATATTGTTCTCATCTCCCGCACCCACGACAAGTTGGTTAGAGTTGCTCGGGAGATCCGTAAGTTATTACTTATTTTAATAGTGTAGTGTGTGAGGCTTTGGTCTAAAGTTTATGTCTTATGGGAGAACTTGGGTTATGTTTCTCAAGGTCAGGGAACAGCCTCGCAAAATAATGACTTTATAAAGTAAAGTGAATTCATATAAAGGTTGGAAAGCATTTACACCTAGTAGAAAATTAATAGTCCAGTCAAATTTGCATGAAAATGGGCAAATGGTGGGAAAAATTTATAATAAGTTGAAATTTAGTGTGCACACTCCTGAAGGCTACAGAAATAAAGATCAAAAGAAATCCCCTCTGTCCGGAGGAGCATCCCCCTTTTCTTACCCCTAACCCCCAAAGGAAGTGGGGGGAGGGGGGTTGCGACTACTTTTTTGCTGTTTTGTGTTAAATAGTGCATCGGATGATAAAATTGCATATAGACAAAAATGTTGGATATAAATTTTGAAAAAAATTCTATATGTGCATTTTTCTCGTAGAAGTCACAGTTTGCTGAATCCACGTCAGAAGTTTGGGGAGATTTTTAACGTGCAGCGAGAAATTTGCTTCTGGCGCTCAGTTTTTAACAAATAACTCCCAAACGCCAAATTTTTCTTTAAAAATGCATGTAGTTGTAGATCAGAAAATGCTTTGTTGTGATAAATAAAAACCTTTTTTTTCCAGATTCATTAAAAAATTATTCTTTTTTAGGTACCACTTAGAATATGTCTGTTAAGTGAAACTACTAAACCTGAAGTCGTTATGGTGTACACAAGTGATTGTTTTTAGTGTTACAAAAAAAAATATTTTAAATATAATCACATCTACAAATTTTTGGGCATTTTATTTGTATTCACTTTTTAAAATTTTCAAAATGGCCGTCTTTTGGGGTATGACTTACACGTCCTAAGTTCTCCACAGTGTCCTTCACAACTACTGTTTACTGTCCCAGAGTGGACTTGTGTTGTGACACTGTCTACTGTCCCAGAGTGGACTTGTTTTGTGACAGTGTTTACTGTCCCAGAGTGGACTTGTGTTGTGACACTGTCTACTGTCCCAGAGTGGACTTGTGTTGTGACAGTGTTTACTGTCCCAGAGTGGACTTGTGTTGTGACACTGCTGTCCCAGGTGGACTTGTTTGTGACCTGTCACTGTCCCAGAGAGGACTTGTGTTGCGACACTATCTACTGTCCCAGAGTGGACTTGTGTTGTGACAGTGTTTACTGTCCCAGAGTGGACTTGTGTTGTGACAGTGTTTACTGTCCCAGAGTGGACTTGTGCTGCGATACTGTTTACTGTCCCAGAGTGGACTTGTGTTGTGACAGTATTTACTGTCCTAGAGTGGACTTGTGCTGTGACACTGTCTACTGTCCCAGAGTGGACTTGTGTTGTGACAGTGTTTACTGTCCCAGAGTGGACTTGTGTTGTGACACTGTCTACTGTCCTGAAGTGGACTTGTTTTGTGACAGTGTTTACTGTCCCAGAGGACTTGTGTTGTGACAGGCTTACTGTCCCAGAGTGGACGTAGGCGATTAATTGGCCCACTGTCCCGGGAGTGGACTTGTTTCAGGACAGTGTTTTCTACTGTCCCAGAGTGGACTTGTGCCAGACACTGTCTACTGTCCCAGAGTGGACTTGTGTTGTGACACTGTCTACTGTCCCAGAGTGGACTGGTGTTGTGACACTGTCTACTGTCCCAGAGTGGACTTGTTTTGTGACAGTTTCTACTGTCCCAGAGTGGACTTGTGTTGTGATACTGTCTACTGTCCCAGAGTGGACTTGTTTTGTGACACTGTTTACTGTCCCAGAGTGGACTTGTGTTGTGACACTGTCTACTGTCCCAGAGTGGACTTGTGTTGTGACACTGTCTACTGTCCCAGAGTGGACTTGTTTTGTGACAGTGTTTACTGTCCCAGAGTGGACTTGTTTTGTGACAGTGTTTACTGTCACAGAGTGGACTTGTGTTGTGACACTGTCTACTGTCCCAGAGTGGACTTGTGTTGTGACACTGTCTACTGTCCCAGAGTGGACTTGTTTTGTGACACTGTTTACTGTCCCAGAGTGGACTTGTGTTGTGACACTGTCTACTGTCCCAGAGTGGACTTGTGTTGTGACACTGTCTACTGTCCCAGAGTGGACTTGTTGTGACAGTGTTTACTGTCCCAGAGTGGACTTGTGTTGTGACAGTGTTTACTGTACCAGAGTGGACTTGTGTTGTGACACTGTCAACTGTCCCAAAGTGGACTTGTGTTGTGACAGTGCTTACTGTCCCAGAGTGGACTTGTGCTGTAACACTGTCTACTGTCCCCGAGTGGACTTGTGTTGTGCCACTGCCTACTGTCCCAGAGTGGACTTGTGCTGTGACACTGTCTACTGTCCCAGAGTGGACTTGTGTTGTGACAGTGTTTACTGTCCCAGAGTGGACTTGTGTTGTGGCACTGTCTACTGTTCCAGAGTGGACTTGTGTTGTGACACTGTCTACTGTTCCAGAGTGGACTTGTGTTGTGACACTGTCTACTGTTCCAGAGTGGACTTGTGTTGTGACACTGTCTACTGTCCCAAGTGGACTTGTGTTGTGACCTTTCTGTCCCCAGAGTGGACTTGTGTTATGAGCACTGTCTGCTGTCCCAGTGGACTTGTGTTGTGACACTGTCTACTGTCCCAGAGTGGACTTGTGTTGTGACAGTGTTTACTGTCCCAGAGTGGACTTGTGTTGTGACAGTGTTTACTGTCCCAGAGTGGACTTGTGTTGTGACACTGTCTACTGTACCAGAGTGGACTTGTGTTGTGACAGTGTTTACTGTCCCAGAGTGGACTTGTGTTGTGACAGTGTTTACTGTCCCAGAGTGGACTTGTGTTGTGACAGTGTCTACTGTCCCAGAGTGGACTTGTGTTGTGACAGTGTCTACTGTCCCAGAGTGGACTTGTGTTGTGACACTGTCTACTGTCCCAGAGTGGACTGGTGTTGTGACAGTGTTTACTGTCCCAGAGTGGACTTGTGTTGTGACAGTGTCTACTGTCCCAGAGTGGACTTGTGTTGTGACACTGTCTACTGTCCCAGAGTGGACTTGTGTTGTGACAGTGTTTACTGTCCCAGAGTGGATGTGTGTTATGACAGTGTTTTCCCATGTGCACTGCTTCTAAATAATACTGTACTGTACTACACTGTACTGTACTGCACTGCACTGTACTGTACTACACTGTACTGTACTGTATTCTGTACTGTACTGTATTGTACTGTACTGTATTGTACTCTACTGTATTCTGTACTGTACTACACTGTACTGTACTGCACTGTACTGTACTACACTACTCTATTGTACTGTATTGCACTGTACTTCACTGTACTGTACTGTATTACACTGTACTCTACTGTACTGCACTGTACTACACTACACTGTACTGTCCTGTACTGTATTGTACTGTTTTATACTGTACTGTACTGTTCTGTACTGTACTGTACTATATTATACTGTATTGTACTGTACTGCATTGTGCTGTACTGTACTACACTGTACTGTACTGCTCTGTACTGTACTACACTCTACTGTACTGTAATGCACTGTACTGTACGACACTGTACTGTATGTATTGTATTACACTGTACTGTACTGTGCTGTATTGTATTGTACTCTACTGTACTGTAGTACACCGTACTGTACTGTTCTGAAGTACACTGTACTGCAATGTGCTGTACTGTAATACACTGTACAATAATGCACTGTACTGCACTGTACTGTACTACACTCCACTGTACTGTACTACATTGCACTGTACCTTACTGCACTGTACTGGGCTGTTCTGCTTTGTACTGTGCTGCACTGTAATGTACCAGACTGTGCTGTATTGTACTGTTCTGCCTTGTACTTTGGTGCACTGTACTGTACTACATTGTACTGTACTGTATTGTACTGTACTACACTGTACTGTACTGTGCTGTACTGTACTGTACTGCACTGCACTGTACTACACTGTACTATACTGCACTGTACTACACTTTTCTGCTTTGTACTGTGCTTCACTGTACTGCACTGTACTGTACTACACTGTACTGTTCTGTACTACACTGCACTGTACTGCAGTGCACTGTACTTTTCTGTTCTGTACTGCACTACTGTACTGTACTACACTGTACTGTACTATATTGTACTGTACTACACTGGACTGTACTGAACTGTACTATACTGTACTGTTCTGTACTACACTAGTGTTCTGTACTCTACTACACTGTACTGTACTGTTCTGTACTGTACTACACTGTATGTGCTGTCCTACACTGTACTGTACTTTACTGTACTACACTGTACTGTATTGTGCTGTACTACACTGTACTGTACTACATTGTACTGTGCTACACTGTACTGTACTACACTGTACTGTACTGTATTGTACTGCACTACACTGTACTGTAATGTTCTGCACTACACTGTACTGTTCTGTACTACTCTACTGTACTGTTCTGTAGTACATTGTACTGTGCTACACTGTACTGTACTACACTGTACTGTATTGTACTGTACTGTACTACACTGTACTGTACTGTTCTGTACTACACTGTACTGTGTTGTTCTGTACTACACTACTGTACTGTTCTGTACTACACTTTACTGTACTACACTGTACTGTACTGTATTGTACTGGACTGTACTACACTGTACTGTACTGTTCTGTACTATATTGTACTGCACTGTACTACACTGTACTGTACTACCTTATACTGTACTGTATTGTACTGTACTCAACTGTACTCTGTATGCTACTGTACTGTACTCTACTGTACTACACTGAACTGTACTGTTCTGTACTGTTCTGTTCTGTTCTGTTCTGTACTGTACTACACTAAACTGTACTGTACAACACTGTACTGTTCTGTACTACACTGTACTGTACTACACTGTACTGTACTGTTCTGCTTTGTACTGTACTGTACTACACTGCACTGTAATGTTCTGTACAACACTGCACTGTACTCTACTGCACTGTACTGCTCTGTACTGTACTGCTCTGTACTGTACTGTTCTGTACTGTACTGTTCTGTACTGTACTGTTCTGTACTGTACTGTACTGTACTGGACTGTATTGTACTGTACTGTTCTGTACTACACTGCACTGCATTGCACTGCACTGTACAGTATTGCACTGCAATGTACAGTACTGCATGACACTGCACTGTACAATATTGCACTGCACTGCATGGCACTACACTGTACAGTACAGTACTGCACGGCACTGTACAGTACTGCACTCCACTGTACAGTACTGCACTGTACAGTACTGCACTGCACTGTACAGTACTGCACTGCACTGTACAGCACTGCACTGCAATGTACAGTACTGCACTGCACTGTAATGTACAGTACTGCACTGTACAGTACTGCACTGCACTGTACAGTACTGCACTGCATGGCATGGCACTGCACTGCACTGTACAGCACTGCACTGTACTGTACTGCACTGTACAGTACTGCACTGTACAGTACTGCACTGCACGGCACTGCACTGCACGGCACTGCACTTTACAGCACTGCACTGTACAGTACTGCACTGCACGGCACTGAACAGCACTGCACGGCACTGCACTGTTCAGCACTGCACTGTACAGTACTGCACTGTACAGCGCTGCACTGCACTGCACTGCACAGCACTGCACTGTACAGTACTGCACTGTACATTACTGCACTGTACAGCACTGTAATAATGTACTGTACTTACAATCACCATTGCAGGAGCAATACATTAAGTGACATTTACTAAAATACCTTTATATTTCATATGTTCACAGTATTGTATTTTTACACTCATTCTATATACTGTACAAATTTATTTACACAGGTGAGCAGTATAGAATCCAGACAGAGATAATCCAAGCAGACTTTGCCAGGGGTCGACCAATATATGAAGATATTGGCAGACATCTTGTAGGCAAAGACATTGGTATCTTAGGTAAGTTGTTGTGTAGTGTAAAGTGAGCCAGTCTTTTATAACAGTTGTTCTCTTATCAATAATGAGTCAAGAAATTGCTTTAGAATTGAAAGGTATTGGACATGAGTTATTTGTTTATACAAATAATAATAATAATTAATACAGTACAGTAGTACAAGAAATGATCTTTTTATACCTATACAGTACAGTGGTCCCTCGGTTAATGAACACAATTTGTCCACAGAGTCGTTCGTTAACCGAAAATTTTGTTAACCGAATCCATTGTTTCAATGGGATATTGGGAAATTGGTTCCAGCTCACAGAAAAGTACTTACAAAGTAAAAAAAAATGCAATAAAGTACACTTACTTTGAGGTGTGTATGTAGAAGGTTCCTGGTTGATGATGGTGATGGGAATTAGAAGTGGGGGTGGAGAAGAAGGGAGAAGAGAAGGAAGTGGGGATGGAAGAGAAATCACCTTTCAGTGAACCCATGCTTGATGCCGTCATTTCACCAATGAAATTTTAGTTCACTAGGTGTAATTCAAGATTATTTTATTTAAATCAGCACTGCACTGTGCTATATATATTATCAATATGTTAACTAAATTTCAGAATGACCAATAATTTCAATGAAAAATGCAAAATATTCAAGACACCAATAAAATAGATGTTCACTCCACTGTCAACAAAGCCCAACTGACGCCTGTTGGCTGAGCCAAGCATCTGATAGGTGCACAAAAAACTAGTTCCCTGTACTGCATATATTATTAATATGTTAACTAAATGTTAAAATGACTATTAATTTTAAAATAAATAATTAAAAAATATTAAAGAGCACAACTTTCTTGATATTTACTCCATTGGAAACGAATGTAAACAGAATTTTTTTTAGTTTAACAAATTTATTGACAAAGCTTGTCGTACAGTTTGCCTATTCTAAGTAATTCTGTCAGGTCTTGACACTGAGGGTGGTATCACTTCTCACTGCCATGCAGGACAGAGGTTCATACACAAAGAAATACAACATATGCATTAACATCTATATATATAGAGGTCAGATTCATGTGGGTAATGTCACTGTTCACTGCCATGCAGGACAGAGGTTCATACACAAAGAAATGTATCATATTCATTGACACTATATATAGGCCAGATTCATGTGGGTAATGTCACTGTTCACTGCCATGCAGGACAGAAGTTTGTACACAAAGAAATACATCATATTCATAGAACAGATTATTGAATTGGCAGACTAGCCCATCAGCTCATCAGCTGATGCTCACAACAAAGCGTGATGTTCGTAAAGATTTCGTTAATCAAAGTTTTGTTCGTTAACCGAATTGAAGTTCCTTATGGGAGGTAATTCGTTAACCGAAATTTCGTTAATCGAGCCGTTTGTTAACCGAGGGACCACTGTACAGGTATATACAGTTGTGCCCCATAAACTGGGGTCTCATTGACCGATGCTTCACATAACCCAAGATTATATATTAGGGGAATACCCCGCAAGTTTTTCTTGACTACACCATTGATCTGACTTTGTGTGTTACACGTGTTATGCCCAGTGTTTAAACCATATACGATGGCTACCAATTAAATAGAGTATATATTGTCTTTAATGGGGATAGTGTACAGTGGTCAAATGAGATCTGATATAAGAGTAATGAGAGGTAATACAGTAGGTACAAGAAATGTTCATGTGTTAGCGTGCTGGAGGTCTGGCTGTTGGCACTCACCCTCCCTCCGTCCCTCCATCAAGGAAGGGCTAGGACTGGCCTTGCCGTGTTTGCCGGATTGTTTTCATTTACAGCTAGACCCCGACTTACGACTACATGGACTTACGTCCATTGGTACTTACGACCTGCTTTGACCGTACGTCCGTCGGGACATACGACCGCGGCAGTCGTGACCAAAAATATTTTCAAATGACGCGCGCATTTTCTATACCGAAACGTTTCCGTCCGGGGCGAGTGGGTGGCACGTCTCGGGTCGCCGTGTGGGTACACTCACTCAGTGGAGTGCTTTGTTTGTGTTTGGCTATCGTATCCTATACTGATCGCACTGTGAACTTTCGTTATTATCGTATTTAATTGACTTTATACTGACTGGAAAGCGTAAAGGTGAGAGTGCTGGTGGTGTTCCAAAGAAAAGGAGACAGGCAATTACTTTTGAGATGAAAATGAAGATAATAACACAGCATGAGAATGGAAAAACAGTAGCAACAATCTCACGCGACCTAGGTTTCTCACACTCGACCATATCCACTATTCTGAAGGACGAGGAACGTATTCGTGAAGTAGTGAAAGGAACAACACCTATAAAGGGAACTATAATATCAAAGAGAAGACAAGGTCCTATTCACAATATGGAAAAATTATTGGTGATATGGATAGAAGACCAGATACAGAAGCGTGTACCCTTAAGCGTTCTAACCATACATGCTAAAGCAAGAAGCCTGTTCCAAAGCCTGAAGGAGCAGGCAGTAGATGAATGTGATCAAACCTTTACAGGAAATCATGGGTGGTTTGATAGATTTAAAAAATGCTTCAGTCTACACAATGTTAAGGTGAGTGGAGAGGCAGCTAGTGCTGATGCTGGTGCTGCCGAAGCTTTTAAGGAGGAGTTAGATGACGTGATTGTGGAAGGGAATTATTTGCCTGAGCAAATATTCAATATGGATGAGACTGGATTATTGTGGAAGCGCATGCCTGAGCGGACATACATCCACAAAGAGGCGAAAACAATGCCCGGATTCAAGGCATTCAAGGACAGAATTACATTTCTGTTGGGGGGGAATGTTGCTGGTTTCAAGCTAAAGCCCTTCATGATCTATCATTCAGAGAACCCCAGGGCTTTTAAACATGTCAGCAAGCGCACACTGCCAGTGTTTTATCGCAGTAATAAGAGAGCCTGGATGACCCTAGTACTGTTTGAGGATTGGTTCATGACTTGTTTCATTCCACAAGCCAAGGAGTATTGTCTGCAACAACAGATTCCATTCAAGATTTTACTGATTTTGAATAATGCTCTGGGACACCCACCACACCTGGACGACATGCACCCTCATGTTAAGGTAGTGTACATTCCACCTAACACTACCTGTATCATCCAACCCATGGATCAAGGTGCTATTGCTGCCTTTAAGGCGTATTATTTACGCACGACCTTTGCTCAGGCTGTTGCTACTGAAGGTGAGAAAATGCTCAGAGAGTTTTGGAAGGAGTACAACATTTTGTCATGTATAAAGAATATTAGTGCAGCATGGGATGAGGTTACAAAACATTGCATGAATGGAATATGGAAGAAAATCCTGAAAAGATATGTGAACAGTTTCAAAGGATTTAATGAAAATGAAGTTATTTCGGATATTAGTAACAAGATAGTGGAGTTAGGTAAACAGCTGGAGTGAGAAATTGATACTGAAGGTGTTGGACAGTTGGTTGAAAGTGTAGCAGAATAGCTCAGTAACGAGGATCTTATTGAACTAGATGCACAGAAAATTGCAGAGGAAGAAGAGAGACAAAATGTAGAAGAAGAACCTGCACCCCCCCAAAAAGTTTTCAGTGAAACATATGGCAGAGGCATTTGCTACAATAAATAAAGGAATGCAAATGTTTGATGGCATTGATCAAAATTATGAGCGTTATGCCAAAGTTGACAGAATGGTCCAAGAGCCACTATCTTGCTACAGGGAGATTTATAATGAAAAGAAAAAGCAAACTGTGCAGTCTAAATTGGACATCTATTTCAAGAAGTCCCCCAGTGCTGTCTCCTCATGCCCCACCAGTGCTGCCTCTTCACTCCCTCAAGATGATCCAATACCTTCAACCAGCAAGTTTCCACAGTACATAAACCTGTCTGAAGAAAGCGACATTGATGACCCACCCAGCCCTGTCTCCTCTTCTGCTTCTTCCAATTAATATAGTCTCCATGTATCCTGTAAATAGAAAATTATGGGGGCCCTGTGTGCATTCAGCTGACTACATTTAAGATAAGTGCTCAGTCACACTGTATCCATTCCTCATTATTTATTACATTTAGTGTACTGTATTTCATTGTAGATTTTAAATTTTTTTTTAAAGAAAATTTTTATTTATTTATTTATTTTTATTTTTATTTTATTTTTTATTTATTTATTTTTTTTATCTATGTTGAACTTACGACCATGTCGGACTTAAGACCATGTCGGATTTACGACCTGGATTTGGGTCCCTAGCCCCCTCATAAGACGGGAAGCACCTGTATATTATCCTAACTTTAGTCTGAGGTATTATTTATTACTATACCTTAAATTCTACTGTTTTCACCCAAACATTTCTCAGAGAGGGAGGAGCCAGCGAGCGTGGGAAGAGGGAGGGGGGGTTGAGTCCATTATTTGAATGGACATTAACCTGGGGACTGTATTCTTTAAATATTAATTGTGTGTGCATACCATCATAAAATTAAGATGTTATTTTTACTACAACATAGGTATTGTGTCGGTATTGTGGTCGAAAAAGTGGAGTTTGGGAGTCGGCCCATATGTTCTGTTATTCCATTTACGCGTTTCTCGTTTTACGAGGACCTCCGCGGGTTCAATTGACCGCGTAAATCGGGGTATTACTGTATATTGTACTACAGCATACTGTACTGTATGTATTTGAGATACAGTAAAACCTCGATTAACCGACCACATATGGGGGGAAGGGGCCGACGGATAATCGAAAAAGTCGGTTAATAGTACATAGAGTCTACGGAAATAAAACATACATTTTCAAAGTACCTTTCCCTAACCTACCTCATTTAACTCCCTCTATTCATTTTTGTTCATTTGCCATTCATATTTCAATAGAATTTGCTTTAAAACATTAACCACTTTAGTAAATAAATATGAACCAGCACAGAAGCCGTGAATAAAAAAAATGGAAAAGTCAAAGAACATATGTCATCACAAAAATTGTGACCAAGTCCCAGGTTGCTGATCTGACTTTCTGCCTCATTTACACACAATTGCAGGGTCTCAATTGTTTCTCTTACTATT